CTCAATGAATCAAAGGACGGAGAAAAATGTTACAAGATGACCTAGCATATGTTCCTATAGCTAAATCATCAAGTTTCCTTAATGAGGCCGCTTTTTGTGAAAAATATAATTTTAGATAGCCATGGAAATATCGAACTCATGACAGTTCGATGACATTAATGAGTAGTTCAGTAATTGTTATCAATAGTGTTTCTAAAAATCTCCCAGATTGAACGCAAATATCGATTATTCAAACGAAATTCTTATGAAGTTATTTATTATACACGGACAATGTGATCAAATCATTGTCAGGACTTACAGGAAATTCAACCAAATGTATCCTGGATCGACACTAATGAACAAGAGGAAGTTTGTAGAATTACAAAATGATTTTATCAACTGTGGCTCAAAGTTTTCTACAGCTCTTTGAAAAATCAGCGTATCTAGCATATCTAGGTAAAAAGCTAGATTCACTGTGAAAGTGAATAGAATTAGGAGAAACGAAACTAACACAAGTGTAAACAAAATACCACATTTTCACAATAAATCCTCAAAATGGTGTCCATTACATTCCAAACATTCTAAAGTATGCTTTCGTACGCTACTCGTGGTTGCCTCTTGAATTTCAGGTGGACACATGTCAGTAATGAATAAGGAATGATTTTCAGCATTACGGAAATTTATCGATGATATAGAGAGGCATTTTAGAGCGTTAGAGGCATTGAATGAAACTGTAAAAACTTGGGATAGGTTACTAATATTTATATTGGCTAGGAAATTATATAACGATACAAGAAAGGACTGGGAAAAAACTAGCATAGTAAAACATGAGGGTTTACCAACCTTCAATGAGTTCACCAGTATCTTATGGGATAGATGTCAGGTGTAAGAATCCACATCAGGTGGAACTGCGACGAACAAACCTTTCAAAAAAAATCGATATCATGAAAAAATATTTGCTCATGTAGCAACGACGAGTGGCGGAGTAAAATGTTATTATTGCAAGGGGCTACATTTCATATACTCCCGTGAAAAGTTCCAGTCTTCCTCACCAGGAGATAGACCGAAAGAAGCTCGGCGATTAAAATGATGTACAAACTGTTTGAGATCGAATCATTTGGTGAGGGATTGTATTTCGGAAGGATGCAAGATTTGTGGTCAGAGACATAACAACTTGCTGCATTTTGAAAGATCAACACACTCCTCAAGTAATGTTGCCTCGTGTAGCAATGCAATTACTACATCAGTTACAGAAGCAAGGCCTGAAGTTGCAATGCATGCAACTCAAGTAGATCGAAATATCCAAATTATTAATACAAGATTCCCACAATAAGTGGCATTAATGTCGAGCATTGCTAGATAACAAGTCGCAATCAAATTTCATCACCGCACAGACTTAATGAAAACACTTGGATTGAAAGTGAGTAGAATTCACCTGCCGGTGGTAAGGGTGACTCAAGTATCGACCAATATTAATCGAAAGATGAATACCAATATAAAATCATTGTATAATCAATATGAATCAAATGTTTTATTCTTAGTACTAGATAATGTAACATCGAACATCCCATTCGAATCCTTCGATTCTTCAGATATAACATTACCCGAAAATGTAACGCTAGCAGACCCAGATTATAACTCAAAAATAGATATATTGATAGGTGCAGGGTTATATTCTTTTCATTGTTATGTAGTGGTCAAATTCAATGTGGAGCAGGGCAACCAGTTTTTCAAAAGTCATTGTTGGACTGGCTGATATCGGGCCCAGTACCAATTCGTGGTAGTTACAGTAGCAAGGTGAGTTGTCACCTTTCTATAGAGCAAGAACCGATTCAAGAACAATTTTTGAGAATCGAAGAATGTGAAACTGGTAGATTTTATTCGTATAGGAAGGACTTGAATATGTGAAAAGAATTTAATCGAAACTGTTGTTATAGGGATGAAACAGGACGTTTCAAGGTAAGTTAATATCATTGGAACGTGAGTTAAATCGGAACGTGGAACTAAAAAAACAATATCATGAATTCATGAGAGAGTATATCGAAATAGGGCACATGTCAAAAATAGAAAATTCGGAGATTGGCCGACCGAAGTTGACATAATATTATCTCCCGCACCATGGGGTCGTCAATAACAATTAGCACGAACACTAAATTGAGGGTCGTTTTCAATGCGTCCGCACCTACTTCAAGTGGGATATATCGTTGATTGAGAGGTTAATGGTCGACCCGAGTATTTAAGAGGATTTATTTACAATATTATTGACATTAAGAAAAGATAATGTAGTTATTACAGGGGACATAGCTAAAATATACAGGATGATGAATGTATCATCAGAACAACGGGACCTACAAAGAATCGTATGGAGATTTCAACCAGATGCCAATATCGAGCATTACAGGTTGAATACGTTAACATATTATGGTACCGCTCCTGCATCATTTCTAGCTACGCGTTGTCTGAAGCAAATAGCTATCGAATTGGAGGAATCCGATCCCGACTTGAGCAAGGTGATTGCTTCATGTTTTTATATGGACGATCTGTTAGTTAGTGTAAATAATATCGAAGGTGTAATTAAAATAGGCCGGGGAGTACAAAATAAGTTGAAATTATCAATGTTCGATCTGAGAAAAAGGGTCTTTAGTCGAATCGAAGTTTTGAGGGCATTATCAGAAATTGAAACCGGAAGTCCTGATGATGAAGCTAATATTAAATCGTATTATTGTAGAGTTGTTACAAAAGGGGTAATATTATCCGTGATATCACAGCTTTTTGACCCGGTAGCTTTAGTAGGACCGGTAACGATTCTGGCGAAAATAATGCTGCAAAAACTGTGGAAATTAGGTCTAAATTGGGATGAGTCAGTGCCGTTGGACTTGGCTACTAGTTGGGTTCAGCTATATCAGAGTTTGTATATATTTAACAAAATTGAAATACCACGCCAAGTAACCAACTGTGGTTGGGTGGATATTGAAATCCATGGCTTTTCGGACGCGTCTGAAAAGGCCAGTGGAGCTTGTATATATATCAAAGCAGTAGAGATAATGTCAGCCAAATTTCGTGTAAATTATTAGGGGCAGTTTTGCTAGCATGATTAGCGAATATAATTCATAAATGTTTCAATGTAGCTCCAGAAAAAACATTTTTGTGGTGCGATTCTACGATAGTTTTGTGTTGGTTGGATGATCAACCCTGTACGTGGAACACGTTTGTGGCCAACAGGGTTAGCGACAAAGTTAGTGAAGTGGAACTATGTTCCTTCTGAAAAAAATCCAGCTGATATCATATCACGTGGAATCAACACAGTTAAAAGGTTCTAGGCTGTGGTTGTCAGGTCATGATTTTTTATATGAGGGTAGGGATAAATGGCCTGTAAGGTCTCCACCAAATGAACAAGACCATTCTGAAAAGAAAATGGTGTCTCTGGCGAACGTATAGTACAGGATTACAGCATATTCGAACAATTTTCATCATTTTCCGAATTAGTTAGGGTATAGTACCCTGGTGTCGAAGACTATTAAAGAATATGAAGATACTGAAAAATGATCGACTTCGAGTTCTACTGACCTCAGAGGAAATTGAAATGGCCACGATGTCACTATTGAAATTAATGCACCAACAAGAATTTGCCTCAGAAATATCGACATTGAAAAAACACGGGTCAGTGGAAACTATACTAGTAGATTGAAAGCGATAGACCCATTATTCTTAGATGAAAATAATCTTATTCGAGTTGGTGGAAGATTGAAAAAGTCTGAATTATCTTATGATACGAAACATCAAATTTTATCGCCTGAACATCATCCATTTACCAAACTTATAATAAAACATGAGCACTTTAAGCAATTACATGCGTGGCCTCAAATGCTCTTAGCGTGTATTAGGCAGAAGTATTGGCCAGTGAATGGTCGAAATAGTGTTAGGAGTGTTTTAACAAAATGAATAACGTGTTATAGGATCAATCCCAAGCTATTGCAGCAAAAAATGGGCGAACTTCAAAGGCAACGAACGATTCAGAATCGTCCATTTTCATTTCGTGGGGTTGATTGTGCTGGCCCATTCAATTTGATAGATGGGGAGTTGAGAAATCGAGCCATTGTAAAGGCGTATTTATGTACATTTGTTTGTTTCTGTGCCAAGTCAGTACACTTAGAACCCATGATATCAAAACATCAAGTACTTTAAGGAAACAGGAAAGAAACCTATTTCCAACAAAAGAGAAATAAACAAAACAAACATTCTTCTACAAGAATAACCATATTCCTAATTCTCAATTCAAAAGTACTCACAAATATCACAAAATGCAGGTACGAAGGTACTTATAAGATTAGGATAGAAAATTCAGTTGAACTGTCAACTCAGCAGCGGAAGAAATGTGTTTGCGGACGAAAAATTATTGTCTGCGGACGAAAAGTAATTGCCTTCAGAAATAATCGGTTTTTCATTTGGAAGTTAGAACGTAAAATGTGTTTTTTGTAGAGGTCGACGAAAAAAATGTTTTTGATATCGACTTCCAGTGGCAGGTCAACTATATATCATGATCCTGGAACAGACCATCTTACTTTCTGCCTGATGCATTTTTATCAATGTGTTTAATACCCAGTATTCAAGAGTCCACCTAACATTAATATAATTGCCCCTCAATCCGTGTTTCCTGAACATGGAGAAATATTTCTGCCGTTATTACCAGTTCAATAACAACAGGTAACAGTTCACCTATATCTCTTTACATAACGCCGGAAAGAAATAAAAACGATCATCATGAAAGGTATCCTCATCTTAGATACAGTGTAGTTCACACAGTGAAGTAATTGTATTTATTTATAGATAATCACTTGAACAGTGATGGAAAATGGATATTTTGAGAATAATACCATTCTTTGCATGTCGACCTTAATTGTCACGAATTCAAAACTAACAACAATAATTATTTCAATGATCACTGAATTTGAAAAATGCAGCGGGAAGTTTCAGGTGGCTTAGATTACCACATATCATTATGCAAGGAATAAATTAAACTCTCAAAATTAAATAATTGTATTCATTCAGCAATCTTTAAATACTTTGGACTTACATATGATGATGTAATGAAGGATAAATAAAATAAATACTTTGCAATATATTCAATCGAGTTAATGTTCTAAAAGTTGAACTCTAACTTTCTAGGAGTTATATACTGTTTTAAGATCTCATCAGTTATTTTCGATCGTCTTTCTTGATGTTCAGCAATCATAGGAGAGAGCAGATCAATTAAAAATTTTTTCAATTCCCCTGTCAGTAATTCACCACTTGTATAATCTTTCCTTATCTGTTCTAGTCGCTCATCATCCTCGAGAAAGAATCTCAGGTACTGGAAGGCAATATCTACATCACAGTTCCCCCCAATTCTCCTATGGTCTTCCACAGTGGCTTGTCCACCCGAGAAAGCATGTTTGTTGATCTTATTTTTGAGCTGTTTAGGCGTATCGCTGCAAAATATTGTACTATTAGCTTCTGATGCTGACATTTTCGTCTGAGCGCCTTGTAAAGCTGGAAAGAATTTGGAATGAAGCAGCGCAGGTTTCGAGAATCCTATCCTTGGACACACATCTCGAGTCATTCGGAAATAAGGATCTTGGTCTATCGCACACGGTATGAGACACTGCAACTTTCTACCGTTGAAAATTTCGGGAAAAGAGGTGGATAGCGCTGGTGTTGCTTGAACTGCTGGGAATGCGATTTTTCCTATCACTGTACTGTCATCAAATCCAAATATACCTTTCACTTGGTTGAATGTGACACACTTTTGTATTCTCACCATGTTACGATAAAATTCTGGACATTGTCTGGAAACAAGAAAACAATAGGTAAGAAAACTGTGGTGTGATGTCAAGTTGAATAAATAATTTATGTCGTACGAGACCAGTAAAAATCGATACAGAGAATTATAAAATATTCCTCCTAGTGAAAATAAATTGATTGCTGAAAATATAGGATACGGTTTCCTGGCTCATTTTAAGAAGAAAAGTTTATATGAACATATACCTGGACCCTCTCAACTTTCGAGCTAGAAGGTGTTGAAATTTCAAATCTTAACTTCAATAATGTTCTAGATATTTTCATGAAATTTGACATGCACCTACTAGCACCAAAGGATATTTTTTGATGCAGGAGATTCTTCAATATGTCTACCAGTGGCGGCCGTATTGGATGTATACAGATTTTTCAAAAAAATATTGTACGGCGGTACTCTTTCCAAAAATCAAGATCATTTTCGAAATCTTCATTTTATTATGCAACAATTTGACCTCTTCAATTTTTTCCTCCGACGCACCATTTTCGCGTAAAAGAATCAAAACTATTTTCATGCATTTGTGGTTTAACGAAGCGGCTGATGAGACCTGGTGGGTCGAAACAGTACTGTCTCGCTCCTGCTGGCAATTGGGGCAACTCTGTTCATCCTAGATCTGTTAGTTATGAGATTTAGCAGTTAATTATTATTATTATTGTTGTTCGAAATTATTGGTCAGGTTATGCAAGGTATACTTTTTTGTCAGACAGTTTTGCAGAGAATCAAACCATTGACTTCCTGATAGTTATGTATAATTTTCAATAATGTTATAATTAAATTCTCTTTTCTTAGTTCTATCAGAAGGTTTCGTCAATGTTCAATATAGACAGTAGGCACTTATAACCCCTTCAGCTCAGACTTAGTAGAAAGGGGAATCAAAGGTCGACGTGACCTAGGGGATGAGCATAATGGCGGCATTTTGATAGCTGCATAAGATATATTAAACTTGGGAATTTAATATAACCATTATACTGTGTTTTGAGTAACTTGAGTTTTATTAAAAACACTAGTATAAAACATAGTGTCAAAGAAGAGAAAATGAAGAGTCATACAAAATATAGTAAGAGGAGAGTGAATGAAGTGAAGCAAAAGGACAGTGAAAGCAGTAAGTCCAGTGAAAATGAAGCAGATTCAGATGTATGAGTTCTATGTGCATTATGTAGCTAAATAAGTCAAATCGGTGAAAATGAATAAGGAAAAGAATTGGATCGAACAGGTTTTCATAAATGATAAGCCAATAGATTTCAAGTTAGAAACAGGTTCAGAAATTAGTATTGTATCATTGCATGTGTTGAAAACACTGGATTCAAGCATTGAAATCAGTAGATCAGACATGTCATTTAATGCTTATGGTAGTTCGAAATTTAAATTAGATACAGTAGGTGAAGTGATCTTGTCTTGCCGAGTCAATGACAAAGCGGTGTAACTGTTGTTTGTTGTAGTGAATGCAAAACACTAAACTCCTTTACTAGATCAAGTTAGATGTGACCTAAATATAAATGAAAAGCCTGTCAAATCACTTGATGACTTAGTGAAGGAATTTCCTAGTGTGTTGAAGGGGTTAGGGATTTCCTACCACTCACCATATTGTGTTAAAAATGATGCTATACCAAGTATGTTTCCTATTAGAAAAGTGACAGAATTTTAAATGAGCGACTTAAAAATAAGTTGAAATATCTCGAAACCGAAGGTATCTTCCAACAATTAAATAAACCAACAGAATGGCTTAATGCTTTAGTAATTGTCGAATAATTAAATGTGGATCTTCGTCTGTGTCTAGATCCGAACAATTTAAATTAGGTATGCAATAAGACGTGAATATTTTCTAATTCCCTCTGTGGATGACATAGCATTAAAATTGCAAGGAAAATATTTTTTGTACTTGACATGCGTAATAGATACTGGCAAGTTGAACTAGACTCAGAAAGCTCTCATTTATGTGGTTTTGGGACCCTATTTGGTCGGTATAAGTTTTTAAGAATGCCATTTGATACGTCGGCGGCAGAGGTTTTTCAGAAGAAAAATTATAAGGTATTTGGGAACATCGACGGACTTGAACTGTATTTTGATGACTTGATCATTACAGGATCATCTGAACAAGAACATGATCACAATTTACGTTTAGTTCTACATAAAATGTTGAATTCCATAAGTCAAAAATACATGTGGTGAAGTTACTTATTATAGTTTAAATAGTTTTTAGTTCTGTTGAGATCACGTTGAGATGTGTCGGGTTGACACATTCAGTCAATCAATGAAAATATATAGTATCTTGTCATTAATTATATCAATTGGATCTACAAATTGGTGACCCCGATAAGAACAGATTACCATTCTGTTATTACAAGATGGTTAAAAAGTCAATCAATGACTTAACCAATGAAATTTTAACAACAATTCTCAAAAAACTCAACTCAACGTTGAATTATGTGAAATGTAGATACGTTGATAACGCTAGTCGATTATAAACGAACAATATGGCAATAGCAAAAGGTTTGACTGCTTAGTCCTACTAAAAGATAGCGAACAGGAAACTACTGAGAGTTCCTTCAATTGATTTCATTCGTGTAATTGAAGGTATTTCGTCACAGTTTTCTACATATCAGGATGAAATGAAACAACGAATAACTCATCTTCAGAACAACCTGAATCTAATAATTTTTTGAATAAACCTCGAAGAGGGAACAAGTGTCCGTCTAAATTCCCTCTACCTTCTTTTTGGAAAAAAGAACCAGACATGATTCGTCAATGCTGAAGAACGTTTCAGTAGTGCTGGAATAACGTGTGATCGCATTAAGTATCATAAAGTTTTTGATGCATTTGATAGTAGGTACGTGATTAGTCAAGTATTCAATATAATGCGATCTGATTCCGTACAAAAATATTCTGATGTGAAAAAAAAGCTCATAACCATTTTTCAAACCAGCGACGAATCCAATATTAAATCCATTTTGAAATTGATACTAATATACTCATTCATATTTGGTTGGAAAACTACCTCTGGAAATACATAGAAATTTTAGAGTATTAAAAAAGATTGTCAAAGCTGAGATTGCAGATGGAATGCTGGAATCGTTCTGAAAACGAAATTCATTCTGTGAAATCTCAAGATCATATCCGCGACACTACCTCGGATCAGATCCTTACCGCCTTAAAAAAGCTAGAGGTATGTCAGAAAGCAGATAAACAATGTGCCTGTACCAGTCATTCTGGATCTCGTTCGAAATCACCATCTGGATTTTGCTGGTACCATAAAAACTTCAAAGAAGAAGCCACATAATTTGTGAAACCGTACAATTTCAGATCAAGTGATAACAAAAATATTGAGTCAGCCAGTCATTGATGGCGACTGATGACCATAGCTTGCAAAATTGTCGGTTGTTCATTGGAGATCCTCCACCGAGATTGCTGTTTTTGATAGACACCGGAGCGGATATTTCTGTTTTGCTTGAAATCATAGAGAAGGAAAAATTATTAACCCTCAGTCTTGGATTGAGAAGAAATTTTAGTTGGAATTTTATTGTAGCTGATATTGAAAAACCAATCATAAGAGCTGATTTCCTGCAACATTTTGGGATTCACGTAGATTTACGTAACAAAAAGTTGATCGACAGTGTTACCAATCTGGAAAAATCAGGTAATATGGACATAGTTAGTTCACGCTATTCTGATGTTTTGATAAAATTTCCAAAATTGGTGAGACTTATCATGAATAGACAAATAGTGCAGAATGCAGTTCAACATCAGATTATTTCCAAAGGTAACCCAGTTCATTGCAAAATGCGAAGATTGAATCAAGAGAAGTTATGAGCTACCAAGAGAGTTTCAATATATGCTTGAACAAGGCATTTTCAGGCATTCTGAAAGTCCTTGGGCAAGTCCACTCCATTTGGACAAAAAACCTAATGGCGATTGGAGATCATGTGGAGATTTTAGGTTATTAAATGCCAAAACTATACCTTTGCCAAATACTCGGCATCTAGTTTATCCGGTAAAAAAATGTTTTTTAAGATAGACCTAGTGCGAGCTTCTTATCAGATTCTTGTTGCTACTGCGGATATTGAGAAAACAGCCGTAATAACACCTTTTGGTTTATATGAATTTTTGGAGATGCCTTTCGGTCTCAGAAATGCTGTTCAAACCTGCCAGAGATTCATTTATCAAGTTGTGAATGATACAGCATTCTGTTTTCCGTATATAGATGATTTTTCGATTAGTTTCGAATATGAAGAGGTACATAAAAATGATCTACAAATCATTGTCTCCAGATTAGAATCTGCTGGAATCAGCATTATTCCAGAAAAATGTGAATTCAGTTCTTAGGACATTTTATTACATCAGCAGTTATCAAGCCATCGAATAAAGAAGTTGAGATCATTTATTTAAATTGCCAACTAACGTCAAGGATTTTAGGCGATTTCTTGGAATGATCAACTTTTATAGATCTTCAATACCACATGCAGCACGCTAACAAGTTTGTCTCAATGAGCTCCTAAAAGGCAATCCGAAAGGAAATAACAAACTTCTTTGGACTGGAAAACAAATTGATTACTTTGAGAATTTGAAAACAGCTCTAGCAAAAGTTACTCTGTTGGTTCATCCAGTGGTTAGTCAATCAATCTGCCTCATGGTTGATGCTTCCGATTTTGGCATAGGGGCTCCTGTGCAACAATTGCAGGACAGCTCGTGGAAGCCCTTGTTTTTTTTTTCAAAAAAATACAGTACATATGACAGAGAACTATTGAAGGGGAGAAATTTCTTCATTTACTCTGATCATAAACCATTAACCAACTCTCTTGTAAAACAATCTGAAAAAACTTTTTTCAGTTAGTTCACCATTGATGAGCAATTGAAACAACAACTCTTAGGCACAACTTCCTTGAGTCTTAAAAAACTTAAATTAGGTGAGTCAAATTATAAAATATTTTGTGATACATCGTCGAATATGATCCGAACATTTGCTCTTGAATTATTCAGAGAAGAAATTTCCAAACA